AGATATCTGTGAGTGTCCAGGAGTTCACTGCTGTGTTTCTAACAAGCAGTTTAATTGTCCCCGACAGGGAGCCAGCTGATCGATGGCCAGCAGGAGTATAAGGACATATTCAGCTGCCTGACCGTGGACTGCCAGTCTGCGTTTGTGTCCTGTGACTCCATCAGCGAGAAGCACAGCCTGGTCATGGTGTGCCAAGAGCTTCTGCCGCAGCTCCTGGTGGGGAAATTCCCACCCCCTGTGCAGGAGAAGATCGATGCCTTCCTGCAGCGCTGTGCCCACGGGCTGGGYGAGGAGAGCGGGGTCAGCGAGGCCATGGCGGAGCTGGCGGCCATCCTGAGACCTCTGCGCTCCTGCGACTCCCGCTTYGCCTACCGCTACCCCGACTGCAGATACAGCGACAAATACTGACACAGCAGCCCTGGCAAGGACTGGGCCAGGGTCACCCCCCTCCCACTGCGGGAAGGGAGAAGGAACCAACTGGAAAGAGCTGCCCCAAATCCGGAGYGTTCTCGGTGTAGGAGGAGGGAGCAGAGTGCACATGGGATTTATTATTCATCTCCCAGAGATGCATTTGTTAGATGGGATATAGACATGATGTAGGGTTTATGGATTATTAGCACTGTCATGAGTGACAAGGGGCCGTAGGGTTAATAAATCTCACTCATGTTTTGGCCTTGGAAGAGTTTCCCATGCTGTTTGATGAAAAGCAAGACAGGATGCTCACAACCAGCTAGATAAAGGATCCTTACTGCCAAGAAAAGCCTTTCTGATGGGMATGATGTATACAGAATGTGGGATGGATGGATGGAAGCATTTAAGACTCTCCCTGTGGCTATTTTTAAGGTGCTAAAAATCATAGATAAACTGAACCGAATCAGTTCTGTACCAGCACCCATCACTTTTATAAAATATTTAAATTTTATTACTTTTATGGCACACAGAACAGAAAGACACTATCAACAGCATTAAAAAGCTGAAAGGTTCYATGTCTCTTGAAACTTAATTTCTCTAATCTCCAGATATAATTGTTTCTAGTCTTTCCCAAGTCARTGGACACTAACACAGGGGTTTGGTTTAAGATAAGAAAAAACCCCAGCTCTGGGACAGGATTTTTCAGCAGATATTTTCACATTTTCTCTATGAAGTGGAGTAACCATWTTCACAAAATCATTCAGATGGGAAAATTACCTTAAGAGGAGAAGGCAGAGGATGAGACATTAATTTACACAGACCCTGACTAGACCTGTTGAACACTCAGTACTCCAGTGTAGATGCTGGGGCACCCCTCAAAAGCTGGGGAGATCTGAGYTCTGGCCACAGGTACAGCCATCCTCATCCATTTTTCTTCCAAAGGAGTGACTCAGGCACTGAGTCAGGCACAATTTGGGGTGGTGAACTCATTTCACAGCAATTGTCAACCCAGGGCTAGATCCAGGTCCCTCATTTTGTGCGAGATGGTTGAAGAAGTCACCAAACACAACTGTTCTCACCCAGAATCTCTCAGTCCCCCTTACTTGAGCTCCCTKTGAGGTGTCARAAKCCCACACCAAACCTTCCCTGATGTRTAGGGGTAGGACAGACCTCACCTGGRTTTGGGCTTTCTCCTGGGATCCAGGTGCAGAGGAGTCAMCAAGCWAATTTTACTGAGCTGAGTGAGAAATGAGGCTTTCTGGATCATCCATAATCATTTCCATCATGGAAAGAGTCTTCCTCTAGCCACGATTCAAAAAATAGATCGGTAACAGTGTAAAGGCAGAACAAGATGTGAATTCATTTGCATTTCCCATGGATGTTCTGCCTTGTGCTGCACAGAGAAGGAACGCAAATCCAGATTTTGTGTCGGCTGTGAAGGGCTCTGTGCACGTAAAACATGCAGCATGGGGTTCCAGGCAGGTGTGAGTGAAGGCTGATCCAACAGGCTGGGCATCCAAAACCACACACACAGGTCTGACACGGGGGAAATCTGACCCAGGATATTTATTTTACCTTTCTTCCCGGCATAAGGTATCAAGAGCACCTTTTACATCTCGAGATGCGGAAACATTGAAAATAATTTGTAGGTAAATTTATCTGCAGGCATAGATGGTCAGACAGTAAAGAAGTTTAAATACACAGCCCCAGCTATGGCTGCAGCCCTCTTTCCTGGTTTCAGTCCGTTTCTACATCGTGGCTCTCCTCCAGAWAGGAAAACGTGTCCTTTGCTGAGATCCACAAGACTAACAACCTGTTTCCATCAGGTTTTCTTGAATCTGTCTGCATCTCCAGTCTCTTGGGGTGTGGGTTCACCTGAGATCTGGGTTTAGCTCCAGGCCCCTTTTCCTGCTGAGCTTATCCCACAGAGCAAACACAGAGGGGATGCATGCACTCAGCACGCTGGGGAATGTCAGGAGAAAGCTCAGATCCCTCAGGAATTGTCCAGCACTGGGCAAAAGTGCTGAGAGGTGTCACACTGGCTGTCTGGACCCTGGTAACTCACCTTCCTGAAGAGCTGGAGGTAAGAACCAGAAGAGCTGCGCTTTTACTTTGCTGCTTGGACTCATTGGCAAGGCTGCAGCAGGAGCCTGGAGACACATAGCATCTATTTTTACAAGGCTTGATTCAAAGTTGTTAAAGCTGAGAGGTGTCTCCCTGCTGCTTTTAATAGACTTCGATACGAAATCAAATAAAAAAAAAACACTCATGATTAAAAATAACGAAATTGTGGATTTACAAATTATTAAAGCATTGGGAGCTGTATTCTCCACCAACTTCTTTTCAGATATTGATTACAAAGGCCAGGCTCATGCAAAACTGTGACTAATAAGCCAGCCATAAAATCAGTCCATGGCTCAGAGAACAATAATTTTCCTAAACTAAACCTCATTTCCCTATATTTCCCTGGCCTTTTACTTTTTTTTTTTTTTTTCACTGCCAATTCTTACTCTTAATATTTTCCTTTTTATTGGCAGTCAGATCCTGGACTCAGTGCCCACCCTGTCTGCCAGCTTCAGTCAAGCCTGCAAATCCTAGTAGGCCAAGCTCCAAAAGGATGTGAAATTAACTTATAAATGGCAATTATTTAAAATCTAATCCTTCCCAAAAGGACTCTCAAGCAATTTTTTCCTCTCTGCATTCGAGTTATTTCTGTCAGTGGCTTTGTTTGAGCCTTTGCAAACTGTTCCTGGTAACAACTTCAGCAGTTTCCACAGCAGAACAAGAATGGCAGAGATCTTCCTCCCAATCCCCCAGGCAGCCTCAGCACCTCCTTTATCCGGGGGTACTTTKCAGCTGCCCTTTCTGCTTCTCAAGTGTCCCTCTTAGTGGCCCATATCCCACATTTTTTAAAGTTTTCATGTCAAGGGRTTTGTCCAATTGTATTTTTGGCCATATTTTTACTACTGACATAGTTTGACTCTCAGGGGATGGAGGCTGCTATCCATCCTGGGGGGCTGGAGGTTTGCATTTCCCCCTTCACAGCTTTTGTGGGTGATAATTTCTTGGCCCATTTTGCACAGACCCACACACACACCCCCACCATCTCCCAGCTTCCCAYGAGGGGCTGCCCAGAAAACACCGTGGCATTTTGGGGAGCTTGGAATCAGCACTCAACAGCTCCAGTCCACAGCCACAGCCAGTCAAACACATCTCATGCATCTCTCCAGCAAACTCAGCCAGCAGCAGTTGTTTGCAGGTGTTTTTTATTGGCATCCTGGTTTTCTGAGACTTTAGGACACACTTGGGTCCCATTTGCCAATTGCTCTCTACAGCCAGGTGCTCTAGATGCTTTATTGCTAATTCTTCTTCAGCTTCTCCCATCATCCCATGCATCTGGAAAGCAGAGCTTTAACAAAAATATTGAATGTCATGAGAYGTTATGAAATCACCAGAACCAGCGCTGTGGTGTTCTGAACTGGCTCACCAAGACACATTAATTTGATTAATAGGTGAGTCKGGCTGCTATTGTACCCTCTGTTCCCCTAATTCAGCCCTGAAAGGAGCCATCCTGAAACTAAAAACAAACAAACAGGAATTTCAGGGAAAGGGAAATTAAATGAAACAGCTATTGAACAGGCTGGGGGATTGGGAGAGGCGTGCACTCTTCCTGCTTCATGGATTACAACATATGGGCAGACTCATCTGGTCTCCTCCACAAGGGGATGGTCTCAGCAAGAGTGGGGGCAGTGGGGTTTTAGGATGACCTGAACCACTGACAAGAGAGCCCCAAGGAAGGGTGAGGACGATCCAAAAGTCCAGAAAAGGTAAGGAGAAAAGAAAGGTGGAAAACTAGGGAGGGACACCTGATAAAGATTTTCAAACATCTTTGTTTCAGTCATAACTTTACTTGCAGCGTTCTAACATTTTGCTCTTCTGGAGCAATGAGAAAAATTCCTTTTTCCACAGTCTCCAGCTGGAGCTCAAGGGTGCTGCCTGCATTGTTGAGTGACCCCAGGTCCTGCAGACACTCCTCATTCCTGACCAAAGTGCCACCAAAACCCCACTGCTCAGTTTCTCACCTCTCCCTGCCATAGGATGGGGTGGGACAGGCTACAAGACCCCCTTCCCCTCTTCAACATTCAGGGGGAGAGAGCAGGGAAACATTTCCTCGATGGAAAAAGGACAATGAGCTCTGGCGAGAGCCAGAGCTGCACCTCCTTCACCAGAGTTCATCTTCCACCCTGCGCCCCTCACTTCTTTAGGGATCAACTGCCTGGGATTAGCATT